CAAAGGAGACATTATAGAACATATTGTAAGATGCACAAATGTAGTTTTGGAGAATCGGGTGCAATTAATGTATCCAGTGACAGTATGAGCTAGCACAGTTTGATAATATTGTAAGTTTCTTCTCTTGTAGATATAGCATTACTCTTAACAGCAACAGTACCATTTGCCCTTTAGTGAATTACGTATCATTTTACAGCCACTGAATGACTGCAATTATCTGTCTAGTAACATAAACCTCCGAGGCCAAACCGAGATGTCTGTCAACTCTTTGAATCCAATTAGAGGCAGTTTCCTGTACACTCAGCGTTCTGCCCCACATATACTTTCCCTGTTGTGTAACCAAGGATCCTATGACATAATCTGGTTTTGTATTGGTAACAACCCGGTTATTTCATCTGTCAAAGTGCACATGTAAGTGACGTAAATGCAACTTGCATTTTTTCCCTCTTTATGCAATAATTAATAGAAATCTTGGATTTCCAGTCATTGTCAGATCCCTTTGTAGTTGTGTTTGATTAATCTTAGATTAATGCACACTCATCCACCTCTTCCTTTGTGTATTTTGTAGCAGGTGAACTACATCAGTTGCATCTGATTTTTATGCATCAGGCATTTTCTTTTTCTTCTTTTTGGATTATGCTATTAGATGGTCATGTAATGCCGTCCAAGTGGTATAGAGTACATTAGTGCCCCCCTACTTGGTGCGTTGGTTCCCGGAATAGTTTTTTCCATTATTTTTTACCAATTTAAAAAGTCTTTCTTAAAGCGTTATATGCCACACTCTTAAAAATAAAGGTTCCAAAAAGGGGTTTTCACAGTGATGTCATAAAAAAACAATTTCCTATGCTCTCAAAATACTAGATCATTTTAAAAATACGTTGAAATAAATAAAAGAATATACCATTGATTAACAACCTCGGAGTTCACATCAGGTTTGTCTTTAAAGGGTTTATAAGTTATCATTAAAAATCAATTCAAGTGTGGAGAAAATAAATAGATGTTTTACTTTGGGAAACCCGACTGTTAACTAGAAGTTAACTATGCACTAATACACAGTGTTCCCTGAAGGTGTTGGGAGGAATGCTTATGCAGAGTGCAGCTATTCACAGAGTGATAAAGTGCATTTAGGTTGGCCTTTTTGTTTATGCACATTTAAAATGCTCAAAACTGATAAAAGCATATGTCTGAAATAAGACTGAGGACCACACTGTCCATCTTTTCATGTATCTACAGCCCCTGAAGATGTGAGTCTGAAAGTGTGGCGAGCTGAGGCCTGCATGGGCCTCCGTCGCTTTTCTGATGCCCTCCGTGACCTGGATGACCTGTGC